TGGACACTCTTCCACTCTGGAGTTGCCCCTGGTGAGGGGCGCCAAGCAGGATTGGGCATACTTGTTGCCCCCCATCTTGGTTCCTGTTTGTTAGGGTTCACCCCAGTGAATGAGAGGGTGGCCTCCCTCCGCCTACGTGTGGGGGGACACGTTCTGACTGTTGTTTGTGCTTATGCGCCAAACAGCAGCTCAGATTATCCACCCTTTTTGGAGTCCTTGGAGGAGGTACTGGAGACTGCGCCTCCTGGGGGCTTCCTTGTTCTGCTGGGGGACTTCAGTGCTCACGTAGGCAATGACAGTGAGACCTGGAGGGGTGTGGTTGGGGGGAACGGCCCCTCTGATCTGAACCCGAGTGGTGTTCTGTTGTTGGACTTCTGTGCTCGTCATGGATTGTCCATAACAAACACCATGTTCAAGCATAAGGGTGTCCATATGTGCCCTTGGCAGCAGGACACCCTAGTCCACAGTTTGATGATGGACTTTGTTGTCGTCTCATTTGATCTGCGGCCGCATGTTTTGGACACTCGGGTGAAGAGAGGGGCAGAGCTGTCCACTGACCACTACCTGGTGATGAGTTGGCTCCGATGGTGGGGGAGGATGCCAGTCAGACCTGGCAGGCCCAAACATATTGTGAGGGTCCTCTGGGAACGTCTGGCAGAGTCTCCCATGAGACGGAGCTTTAACTCCCACCTCAGGGAGAACTTCGAACACGTTCTGGGGGAGGTGTGGGACATTGAGTCCAAGTGGGCCATGTTCCATGCCTCTATTGTCAAGGCAGCTTACCGGAACTGTGGCCGTAAGGTTGTCGGTGCCTGTCCCGGCGTCAACTCTCGACATCCCACCGGGAGGCGACCCAGAGGAAGACCCAGGACATGCTGGAGTAACTGTTTCTCGACTGGCCTGGGAACGCCTCGGGATTCCTCCGTAGGAGCTGGCCCATGTGGCTGGGGAGAGGGAAGTCTGGGCCTCCCTACTTAAGCTGCTACCCCATTACCCGACTCCGTATAAGTGGAAGAAAAGGGATGGATGCATGGATTGAGTTTAACTCAATGTTGTTGATCTACTTCCGGGAAAATGGTGCTGGTGGTTTGCCATTCACCTCTGTCTGTTTTGATTGTTTTTTTTTTCTGCTTTTGTCATTTTTCTTTGGTGACAAAAACTCACTGCTTCTTTATGATCGCCAACAACTTTTAAATATACAGTTATCTACTGCAAACCCCGCCTTGTTCGACCACTTTGATCAGGGCTCTGGACTCCCACCCCCTCTGCTTGTTGATGTCCCGGTTTACCTCAAGTGTGCGGCGTTTCTGCCCGTCCGAAAACATCGCTCCAGGCGCCGTGGGAGACGTGCCGGCCGTCTTGTGAGGATTAAAGCCAGCTTCAAGCTCTCTGCTGCTTTTTCACCTTCTGCTGACAATCAGACGTTAAACTGTCCATCCGGATGCTTCGCTGACCCACTCAACTCCAGCTCGCTCCAGGTGCCCGGGCCTGTGCGGCCGCGGTGGTTTCGGCCTTCTCCAGTAGAACTTAACCAACTCCGGACCTTCTGCTGCATCATCTCCTGCCGACCATCTGCTGGATATTCGCCTGTCCGGGTGCTTCGCTGATCCTGCTGGGTCCTGCCTGATCCCCGTAGTCGAGCCTGGCTCGCGCCGTGGGCGCACGCACAGCTGCGACATCTCTGGTCATTTGAGGCACGGTTCAAACTCCAGAAGTCTGAAACAGCTGATCTGTGCTCGGAGCACAGCTTTACCTTCATCTACAGCTCATACAAAGATTGCTCTGCTGAATGTGAGGTCACTGGCAAATAAAACTTTCATCTTAACGATTATTTCTGCTCCAATGGACTGGACTTCATGTTTGTTACAGAGACCTGGCTCGTCCCCGGCGCGTTGTGTTTTTTCTGAACTTTTGCCGGTGGATTGTGCCTTTTTTTAATGCTCCAAGGACTTCTGGTAGGGGTGGTGGATTATTAACAGTTTTTAAAAAGCTCTGGAACTGCAGACAGCTGCAGGCTGTGACATTTCAGAGTTTTGAACTGCTGCATTTTGAGCTGGGCCACTCCAACCCGACACTGTGCTGCCTGATCTACAGACCACCTTCATACAACAAAAACTTCATAAGTGAATTTTCTGACTTTCTGACTGGAATACTGCTCAACTACGACAGGGTCTTGATTCTGGGAGACTTTAATGTGCACGTTTGCTGTCCTGACAAGCCTTTGGTGCAGGAGTTTCTAAATCTGCTACAATCTTTCAACCTTGTGCAAAATGTTGTTGGTCCAACTCATCAACAGGGCCATACACTTGATTTAGTTCTGTCTCATGGTTTATCTGTGGTTAATCTGGAAGTTGGGGATGCTATTGTTTCAGATCACAAACCCATTTAATTCCAAACCTCTGTTATTCATGAGTCTGAATCCCCCGCTCCAGCCAAGAGTTGTCGGATATTTAACTCTTCAACCGCTGCTCTTTTTTCCTCTGCATTCCTTACTGATGCTGCTTCAGTCCCTGAAACCTCTGCCTGTATTAATATGCAGGAGCTGCTCAGTAGGCATGATGCAACCTGCTCTAAGATTTTAGACCTCGTGGCCCCGCTAAAAATCAGGCGACCAAAGCGGGCACCACACCCCTGGTTGAACGCGACCACTCGAGCGGCCAAACATCTATGCAGGAGAGCTGAACGCAAGTGGAAAAAGGACAAATTACAGGTTTCTTTTATTATGTTAAAAATATGTTTGAAAGATTATCAGAGCATTGTTATATCTGAACAGAACAAATACTTCTCCCAAATCATTGCTTCAAACAGTCATAATCCCTGTGTTCTTTTTAATACCGTAAATTCCATTTTAAACATGCCTCGGTCTGCCAGCATGGAGGCCTCTGTTGACATCTGCAATAACTTTACCAAATACTTTGCTGATAAGGCAGAGTTGATTAGGTCATCCATCCCCCAGTCCACAACTGACCCCTCTGTCTTTGTCCCTTGCTCAGCTGTCTTCAAACAGTTTGAACCCATTTCACTCCCATTTCTTAACAAAGTTGTTGGCCAGATAAAACCCTCCTGTTCCCCTGCTGACCCCATTCCTGCGTCGTTTTTCAAACAAGTTCTACCCACGATTGGACCCTCTGTTCTTACTATTGTAAATAGTAGTATTGTGACAAGTGTGGTTCCCAATGTTTTCAAACATGCAGTAGTTCATCCGTTAATTAAGAAACCTGGACTTGACCCTTCGACTTGCTCAAATTTCAGACCTATCTCAAAACTTCCTTTCCTGTCCAAAATCCTGGAGAAAATAGTTTTCATTCAATTAAACAAGTTTTTGAATGAGAACAAAATCTAAATTTTTCAATGTGGTTTTAAGCAACTCCACAGCACTGAAACAGCATTAGTAAGGGTTTGTAACGACATTATGATCTCAAACGATTCTGGTCAATTTGTGGTACTTGTGCTCCTGGACCTTACTGCTGCTTTTGATACTGTTGACCACAGTATCCTTATATCACGGCTGGAACAGTGGGTTGGGATCACAGGTGCTGCATTAGAATGGTTCCGCTCATACCTGAGTGGCAGGAGCTTCTGTGTCAAGGTTGGTAACAATGTATCCGCCTCATTACCTCTTTCATGTGGGGTCCCACAGGGTTCGATTCTTGGACCCCTTCTGTTCTCACTCTATTTGCTCCCACTGGGGTCCATCCTGAGGAAACACGGTCTTTCATTCCATTGCTATGCTGATGACTGCCAGATCTACCTGCCTGTGAAACCACTGTTTGCTCCATTCACCCTCTGTTAAAATGTCTGGACGACATTAAGGCCTGGATGGCTTCAAATTTCTTAAGTTTTAACAATGACAAAACAGAAGTCATTGTTTTTAGCCCTAGCTCAACTGCCACCACTGATCCTGTCAACCTGGACTCTCTTCAGCCATATCTGAAGCAGTCTGGTAAAAATCTCGGGATGGTTTTAGACTCTGACTTCAAGTTTGACAAACAAATCAACTGTTCTGCAGAAAAGCTTCTTCCAAATAAGACAGGTAGCTAAGCTCAAGCCAGTGTTGTCCAGACCCGACCTTGAGAAACTAGTCCACGCCTTTGTCACGACCCGATTGGACTATTGCAACGCACTGTATGCTGGGATCAGCCAGGCCTCCATCGCACGTCTTCAGCTCGCCCAGAATGCTGCAGCTCGGCTTTTAACCGGAAACCGTAGGTCTGAACATATTACACCAGTTCTGTCCTCCCTTCACTGGCTCCCTGTTCGTACGAGGATAGTCTTTAAAATTCTTCTGTTGACCTTCAAATGCTTAAATGGCCTCGCACCCCTTTACCTCTCTGAGCTTCTGGAACCTTACGTTCCCTCTCGGGCTCTGAGATCATCCGATCAGCTGCTTTTGGCTGTTCCAAAAACAAGACTGAAGCTCAGAGGAGATCAGGCTTTTTCAGTCATGGGCCCCAAATTCTGGAACAACCTGCCCCCCAACATCAGGCAGGCCACCTCCATTCCTCACTTCAAATCCCTGCTAAAAACACATCTTTTCTCTCAGGCATTTCATACAGTGTAAATTGATCTAGTGTTTTTTAATCTGTGACCCTATGTTTTAAATGCTTTTTATTAATTTTTCAGTTATTATTATTAGTGTATTGTATATATATGTTTATATATTTTTCTCTTTAATTTACTCATTGATTGTTGTTGTTGTTAAGCACTTTGATAACAGATTCTGTTTTAAATGTGCTCTATAAATAAAGTTGACTTGACTTGACTATTTAGCATCTTTATTGAACAACATTCATTGAACAATCAGATGCTCATCCCTGAATTTTCTGTTATATATTTAAGGACCAAAGAAAATCTATCAAGTTGTCATCAATAGCAACTCACTGAATAGAAGCTTACATATTTATAAAGTATGCAAAATAGGCTTTAGCAAATGAAAATGGATTTTTTTGCAACTGACTCTGCTATCTACACTGTTTAGTGTCTGGGGTTTTTTGGTGCAGATTTGCTGGCCAGGTGGGATATTTAATAGCAGGGATGAAGGATGTGAAAGAGGCCCAGATTGGTGACACACTCTACCTCCAGGAGCAGCCAGTCGAAGCTCTTCCAGGGTTCAAACCTGCCAAACCCATGGTGTTTGCTGGTAGGAACTGTCCTCTTCTACTGACTCCTTATTTCAGTTAATAAATTATGTATTTTTAAATGAACCGATTAAGACATGAGGAAAGGTTTGATGCATGAGGTCTAAAAGTTCACAGCTTGTGGTCATTTGATGCATTTTCTGTTTCTCCAGCCAGCGTGGCGCTCTCACTAAAGAGTCCTGCTAATGTGCACTCCTTTCTTTATTTTTTGTCTTCTGCTCCTCAGGCATGTATCCAGTGGACCAGTCAGAATATCCCGCCCTTTGCAGTGCTATTGAGAGGCTGACCCTGAATGACTCAAGTGTCACATTGCAGAAAGACAGCAGTATGGCCCTGGGAGCAGGCTGGAGGTCAGAAAGATTTTAATTAGAACAAAATACTTTTATAATGTTTAACATTCAACTGTCAGCTGTGAAAGAAAAGTATAATCTGGATTATGACACTCGAAGAGAGGACAATTGCAAACATATAGGCTTCTTTTTAATAGGTTGATTTTATTATTTTTCTACTGCGAAAATGATTTCCATAGCAACAAAAATAGCAACATATAAAGTCCAGAAACGTTGGTTACGTACTGTAACCCCAGATTCTATGAGTATAAGCGTAGCCCTTTAAGGCTGTCGCTGATGGTTTATCCCGTTATGTGAAAGCATTACACTGAAAAAATTTAGTCCACGCCCACCTGCTGTGTGGGCCCCACCCGGTCCATATAAGTTACGTAAAGAGCGGGTAATCGGCTCCCAATTAACTTTTCTTCAGCCATTTAGGAGCCAGTGAGGCCCGACGCTTAAAGGGCTACGCTTATACTCATAGAATCTGGGATTACAGTACGTAACCAACATTCTATTTCGTATAAGCTGCGCCCTTTAAGGCTGTCGCTGATGGTTTAAGGGCGAAGCAGATGTGGTCCTCGCCTCACTGGGTCCATTCGAACACCGTATGAAGCAGAAGCTTGCCCAAAAAACGTCTTGTCACTCAGCTCCCCATGTACATAATTACGCATTGCGTAATTATGTGTGTCATGCACAGACGCATGTTGTGTAACTATGCGTTCTGAATGCATGAACGCCCCGGAAAAATTTCAACGGGGAGGGAAAATATGCTGAAAAGAGCCATGAACCAGCCGGTTACGGCTGAACAGTATGAACAGACTAATAATAACAAGAGAACTGATTATTAATCAAATGAACTGATTGGTAACAATAGTCATGAACTGATTAGTGATAATAGAACCAAAATAACAATCACAACTTGTGACTGATAACAGCATCTCACACTGTAATGCATGCAGACAGATGTGAGTAAAACGGAGTTCCATGAAACAATAACATTCATTCTGTAACACTAAGGACAGAATGTGTCATGGAATGGGCCGTCACATCACGTAGATAAAAGCGAATGAATGAGCAGGGTGTTGACCACGCGGCCGCAGTGCAAATTTCCTGCATTGTCATACCATTATGCAAGGCAGTCGAAGATGCGATACCCCTGGTCTAGTCTGCTCTGAAGTTGACAGGAGGCTCTAAATCTGATGCTCTATAGGCTTCAGAAAAGGCCTCACACAGTCAGTGTGACAAGCGCTGGGTGGATAACGGGCGACCTGCAGGTGCATCTCTATAATGCACAAACAAATGTTGAGTTTGACGCATTGCAGCTGTGCGTTTTATATAACACGTCAACGCCCGCACCGGACAGAGAAGATGGAAAAACGCCTCTTCTTCTGATTTGTGGGGGGAAGGGAAAAACCCCTCCAATGATATCACCCTTGATTTAAATGAACTCGTGATGTTTTAGACATAAAAGCTGGGTTTTGTCTTAAATCAGCTGAGCTGCCGTCAGCCTGAATTCTAAGACATGACGGAGCAACAGAGAGGGCAGATAAATCACGCACCCTCTTAGCGGATGTTAAAGCCAACAGCAGGGTAGTTTTAAGAGACAAGAATTTAATTGGGACCTGATCCAGAGGCTCAAATGGGGCTTTGATCAGGGCTCGCAGGACCAGCGTTAAAACCCACTGTGGAACAAGTGGGTGAAACAGACCTGCGTCTCTGTACACCTTTTAGAAAACGCTTCATCAGCGGATGATTAAAGGCTGTTCTGTCTCCGAGCCCTTCGTGGCAGGAAGAGATGGCTGCAGTGTACGTTTTAATCATGTTGGACGCCAAATTTCTGTCCAACAGCTGCTGCAGAAAGGACAGCATGCCACCTAGTGGACATGAGATGACCTCTACACCTTTCTCTGTACACCAGCGCTGAGAAACTGTCCACTTTGATGTGTACAGCGCTGTGGTAGATGCAGCACGTGAATCCTGGATTGTGCGCACTACATCCTGTGGGAGACCCATCCTTTCTAAGCGGATCCGCTCAGTGGCCAGATCCACAGGTGCTGGCCTATTTCTAGGTAACTCCTGATCGCTCCTCCTGCCTGGAGGAGAGCATCCTCCCTCCATGGCAGTTTACACGGGCGCCCCGACAGCAGGCGCTGCAGGACTGGGAACCATGGTGCGTTCACGCGCTCGGGGGCCACCAGGAGAGCTGTCAATCCCTCCTCCTGAACTCGGTTGAGGAACCGTAAAATCAGAGGAGGTGGAGGAAACGCATACAGAAGCGTTTTGGGCCATGGGCTGTGGGCAAACGCATCCACCCCCAGCGTTGGTCCATCTCGCAGGCTCAGAGAAAACCATAGTTGACACTGAGCGTTTTCTTGTGTCGCAAACAGGTCCACAGCTGCTTTGACAAATTTCTGCCACGTCTGAGTCATCAGGTCTGGATAGAGAGTCCAGTCCCCGTGACGTGGACCGCCCCTGGACATCACACCTGCCCCTTTGTTCAGAACACCGGGTATGTAAACTGCTCTGATGGAGAGCAGATTTTGGTGAGCCCAACACAGTAGCTTTTGCGCAATGTGTAACATCTGGGCTGAGCGCACACCCCCCTGCCGGTTTATGTACGCAGCAGTCACCTTGTTGTCTGTGTGAATCCAAACGTGTTGATTCTGCAGCACAGGAGCAAAGTGTTGAATCACGTTCAGCACCGTGTGGCACTCCAAAACATTCATGTGGGCAGATGTGTGATGGGGCCACAGCGCCCCTACTGCTTGAGATAGGCATGTCCCCCCCCCAGCCTGACAGCGACGCATCCGTGAAGACTGGCATGTGTGACGTGGGTCTGCTGACGGGGGCTCCCTCCGACAGAACCAGGGTGTTTCCCCAGTGTCGGAGGTCTGCTCTCACGGAGGGAGGAACAGTGATCATCCGTCTCTTTTGTTTTTCTGGATCCACACGCAGACGCGGAAACCACCTCTGGAGGCGTCTCATGTGTAATAAACCCAGCGGGACAACTGTGTGAGCTGATGACATCATTCCTAACAGCTTCATGATGGAAAACAGCTGTTACCACTCTGCCAGGTCTTACGAGACGGAGCTGGTCTTTTAAAGTGTCGATTCTCGTTTGTGATAAACGAGCCCTCATGGTGGTTGAGTTAGCTCCACTCCCAGATAAACAGTTGTCTGGGCCAGGAAAATTGAGCTTTTCTTCCAATTTATGGTGAAGCCCAGACTTAACATGTGTGATGTCAACACCTGAGCCTGCATCACTGCTTCCTGTCTGGAGCGTGACAGCAGCAGCAGGTCGTCCAGGTAAAACAAAACTCTCATCCCTGCTCTGTGTAACGGATGCAGGGCTGTCTCCACATACTTTGAGAATGTACGAGGCGCGAGAGCATAACCAAACGGCAGCCTGTTGTACTGATACTTCATCCCTTGAAAGGAGAAACGCAGGAATTTTCTGTGTTTTGGGATAATCGGTATGTGAAAATAAGCATCTTTCAGGTCGACGGAAAACAAACCAGTCATTTCTCTGGATGTTGTCCAACAGCTGTCTGGTTGTCAACATGTGAAATGGCTTGTCCATGATCACCTTGTTGAAAGCTGACAGATCCAAAATCGGTCTCATCCCTCCGGTCCGTTTGGGAACCAGGAAGTAACGTGAGTAAAACCCTGTGTTTTTCTCTCCGTTGGGAACTCTGGAGATTACTTCTTTTATCAGAAGCTCTTGGACTTCTGCATTTAGGGATGAGATTTGGTCTGGTGATGACAGGACCGTCTCTAAAATTCCTCTGAATGGAGGGGGTCAGGTTTCAAATTGCAACTTGTAACCTTTGCATAACACCCTGGCCATCCATCTGTCTGGTGAGCATGTTTTTAGTCACTCCGCGTAACGTTCGTGGAGTGGACGTGCGTTTAAGTGATGCGTCATGTTTTGTTCGAATGTCATCCAGTCCATGGCCTCGACCGCCGTCATGTCTCGAAAGGGCTCTGAACACGCCCGTGTGCTGCGTTCAGACCGAGGACCAACCTTCATGTCTAGGTGTGCCGGTGTGTGCTGAGGCGAAGCGTGGCAGCTGATGACGCCGTGGGGCTGCGCGTTTGACGCCACTGTGGTGAAAATGCGTGTCGCTCGCTCCTGCCGCGTGCGGTGTCCTGCGCTGGGTTCGCTTTGATATCTCGCATCTATGCCACCATGAGCGGGCGAGCGCTGCGAAGCTGTGAGTGCGACTTCATCTACGCCATGCCGTTTGAGTGAAGACTGCGAGCCCCGCGGGAGCACACGTTTTCTCTGGTGGGACGCGCGCCGCTCTCGCTGGAAGCGAGACTCGTCACTGGGTTCGCTCAGCTGTCTCACGCTTATGCTGCCGTGAGCGGCCGAATGCTGAGTGAACGGTGGATGAAGGCTGCCTGCGCCTCGGCGGCACGCGTTTGCTTCGATGCGGCGTGTGTCGCTCTCACTGAGAGCGTGGTCCTCCACCGACCCGACCTGCGGTCCCACATTTATGCCGATGTGGGCCAGTGAACGCCAGGGAGCTGTATGTGCACCATCATCTACGCAACGCCGTTTAGGTGAAGGCTGTTTGCGTCGCGTGAGTGCGCATTTGACACCGCTTGGGTGAGGATCGTGCAGCTCAGGTTGACAACGAGTTATTTCGCTTACCATTGTGCGGTGTGAGCGTCTCGTCATGTCTTGGAGCAACGGTGAGTTTAAAAAACCCTTATTAAAGACACCGTCTTGTTATGTGTGGAGGATGTGTGCGCAGCCGCTGTAAGTCCATCCGAGCTTACAGACTGGCTAAAAACAGACACTTGATCATTGAATTATGTTTTATTCAACATTTGTGTCATATTTACACACACCCTCTGCAGACCATCATTCTGAATCTTTTCCCCCTTGAGCTCTGGGATTCGTTGGCCCAGGGTGCCGTCTGCTGGGGGTCTCTGGGAAAAACGTTGGACATTCTGTTGCCGGGATGAAGAGGGCCGGACGGGCTGAAGCTCAGCGAAACGGCCGTGGAACC